TCCCCAGCCCATGGCCAAGAGCGTGTGGGGGAGGGGCGGGGACGGCACTGAGTGGCCGGACAGGGATTGCGGGTAAGTCAGGAACTGCACGGTGGAGGGCAGTGGCCGTGAAGGCGCTCTGGGTGCGGGGGCGAGGGGACAGCTGTCAGTGCCCCCCCCTCCGCTCCTCGAGGGGCAGGCGGGAAGGTTCTGGGCAAACAGCACACTGAGGGCTGGACCCCAGGTCTCCCCCCAGAACCACCCCTCTCCCCCGCGGCCCGAGCCATGGCCCCCGCGACCCGCCCCTCCCCCAGCCCCCGGCCCCGACTCCCGCTGCCGTCCCCAGCGACAGATGACTGCTCACGACCAAATTGAAAAATATTAATTCCCTTTGTAGCCTGCCAAAAAGGCTAAAGCAATTACAGGCCCTGATATGAAACACAGATGTTAAGACATTTGGAAAAACAGGCCCCCATCGGCGGGCAGGGGCGCGGGTGAATGAAGTGCCAGGGACGAACGCGCCAGACGAGGCCGGGCCGGGCTCCAGCCCACGGCCCCGACCGACCGTCCGGGCAGGAGACCCCGAGTCGGGCGCTGGCACCGACCTCGGGTGTGAGCCCACAGGCTCGGGCAGTGACACGATGACAAACGTCGCCACGGAACCAAAGAACGGCCGTGACGGGCAGCTCTCGCTCTTCGGAAACTGGGAGGCCGAGGGGACCAGAGGCCGGAGGGACCGGGCTGTGCCCGCCGCGGCGCTCACTCTGCCATGGTCGGGCACTCGGGAAGCCCCTGCCTCAGGGCAGAAGCCAACAGGAGCGGTTCTGCCTCGAAGGGGCCCGGGCCTGACCCCGCGACTGGGTGGTGACACGCACAAGGCCCCCCACGGAGGCCCTGCCCAGGCCACTACCCGGCGAGGAGAGGAGGGTGAAACAGCGTCTCGGACCCGGCCCCTGCGCCCGCCCGGGCACCCAGGTCCCTGCGTCCTGTGCAGGAAGAAGGAGGAGGCGTCCGTGGAAAGACGCCTCACCTCCAGCCCTGCCGGCCCGGGCCTCAGTTTCCCTGCTGGTTCTCCCGGCGACACCAGATAGTTCCTTCTCTGTGGACAGCATGTGTGGCACGTGAGGGGTCCCCATGCCTCGTCCTCTCTCCTCTGAAGGCGGCTGCACGCAGCCCCCGGGAGGGGACACTGGAGCTGCCCCGTGAAACGGACACGGCGGGTCAGCAGGCCCCTCACGGGCCTCGTGTCCACTCGACATGCGCGGGGTGGCCACGCCACCAGGCTGCTGGTCAGCCACAGTCACTCCCCTGGGAGGGGACACAGGACAGTCTAGTCCCCGAGGGCCAGGCCAGCTCTGTCCACCCCGGGGGCTTTTCAAAGTCTCAGTCCCGGGGACCCCAGGGTCCCACGCCCAGAGCTGTGCCTGCACCCCTTCCTGAAGTCTATCTCCAGTGTGTGTGACCTTGGACCTCAGGGTGGGGGCGGGGTCACCCAGCAAGTGACATCACACTGACCCCCCCCACACACGCGCGCACACACACATGCACACACGCATGCACACGCACACACGTGCACACACGTATACACGCACACATATGTATGCACATGCATACACACTTGCACACACCCACCCACACACACGCACATGTACACATGTACACACACACGCACACACGCCTGCCTGCACACACGCCCACGCACATATGCACACACGTACACACACACATATACACACATGCACACACAAATGCACACACGTGCACGCACACACATTTACATGAACACACACACATACACACACACACACACACACACCCAGAGTCTCTCATGGGGCCTGGGACGCAGCAGGAAGGTCAGACGGAGACACACCCGGAATGCAGGCTTCGTGCAGAGCGAGCCCCGGCAAACATTCAAGAAGATCCCAAACAAAACAAGTGGGGCCCGGCCTGGGCGCCGGCAGCCCGGGAGAGGTGTGTGGAGCGCAGGCTGCCCCACCTTCCTGGGCTCCCTGGGGCCGGGCAGCCGGCCACTGCCACCGCCCACAAGGGCCGCCTGGGCGGAACGGCCACTCCTGAGGGGGCAGCTGGAAGCCGCGCTCACGCCCAGGGTGGACAGCGAGAGGTGAAAGCCAAGAGACATGGAACTAGGCACGCAGGCCTTCAGGAGCCACGAGAAAGTTCCAGAAGCTTCTGGAAGACTCCAGAGCCAGAGACCAGTAGGGGTCTTCGCTCTCGAACCTTCCTTTCTCAGGGCCACTGGGCCTGGACACACTCTGAGGTCTGTCCCCTGGGTGAGACTGGGTCGTTGTTTGAGACTCAGTTGAGGGAGTCACTTCCTGTGCCGAAAAAATCTCCTGCCCCCACCCCGGGGCCGAGCGGTGGAAGGTTCTGGGGTGACGGCACCCCAGGAGAGCAGGGTCTCACTTGGGGCTCTCCAGAGCATGGGATAGGGGCGCGCCCACCCCAAGGCCCAGCAGCGGCCCCCAGGGCAGCCCAAGGGGCCACAGGCCACAGCCCCTTCGGAGCTGTGGGAAGACGGGTGCTGGGCTGGGGCAGGGGTGAGGAGCGCGGGTCCGAGCATGTGTCCTGAGGGGCGGGACCTTCCCTCGGGGTCCAGCACCGGGGACACGAGTGCCACCTCCCTTCCCGCCGCCCTCAGCGTCCCCAGCCCCTCACCAGCCCCTTCTCCTGCCTCGGGCCCGGGTGGCAGCTGACCTCCACTTGGCCCGAGACCGTCTGAAGCCACCGTCCCGGCAGGCTCCAGGGACACTGTCCACCCCACCCCACCGCCCCTCGGAGCGGCCCTCTGGCCTGCGACAGCTCCCTGGGTCCCCCAGAGGCAGCAGCCCCGAGGGGGCAGGCTGGGACCCCGGCCGGGGGTGCGAGGATAAACCCCCCACGGCACCATGCGGGGGGCGACAGCGCGAGCCAGGTCGCACTGCTCCCCGACTCGGGGCTCGGGAAAGGGCGGCAGGGCGAGAGCCCCGGCCACATCCCCCCCCCAACCCCGCCGCGGCTGCCAAGGGCGGCCCCGCTCCCCACAGCTGTCCTGGCTGCAGCGGGGCCGGCATGGACGGCCTCCAGCTCGCCTCATTATCAGAATCGAATCTGGATTCGGAGGGATCAAGAAGGCTGGGGAGCGGCTAATCCCCGGCCCCCCGGGGTCCCCCGGAGCCAGATGGCACGGCGCCGCACAGCTGGCCAGACGGCAGGGCCAGAGGACAGCCCGGGCCACTCGGGGGACAGAGCAGCCCCGAACCCGCCTCGCCTCCACCGCGGGGGAACACCACACGCCCCGCCGTGGCGAGACAGGAAGGGGCTGCCACCACGGCGGCCGGGGACGGGGCTGGCGGGGACGTGCCGACGGGGAGGGTGCGGGCAGTGACGACGGAGGCCGCGGGAGGGTCGGTGGGGGGGAACGGAGGCGGGGAGGGGCAGCAGGTGACAGCAGGAACGAAGGGGAGGGGGTGGTGGCAGTGGTCAGAATGAAGACCGCGGTGGCGGCGGCGGCGGGGACGGTGGCCACGGTAATAACGCAGGCGACGGTGGCGGTGGACGGGGTGACAAAGAAAATGGTGCTGGTGACATGGGGGTGGTGACATGGTGACCGTGACGTGGGGGTGGTGGTAAAGGCGATGTGGGGAAGGTAATGAGGGCAACGTGCGGATGGCCGTAAGAGTGGACAGGGGGTTAGGGTGACGAGGGTGGGGTCCACAGAGCTCCTGACAATGGCGGTGCCGGAGGGCGGTGACGCTGGTGGCTGTCAGTGATGATCCCGGCGAGCCTGCAGGAGCACTCGCTCCCTCTCTGGAGGGTGACGCCCTGAGCCTGGCTCTGCCCTAGGAGCTGGAGTTGCTCCTGGCCAAAGCCCACCAGTGAAGGACCCTGTGACTGTCTGGCCCTCGGCCCCGCCCCGCCCTCCGCTGGGCGTCCCCGCTGCAGCCTGTAACCGCCTCAGGCCGCGGTCCAGTTCTTCCCCCCCCACCGCCCCCGAAAGAGGGTCCCACTTAGCTTCAAGGGTCTATGAGCGGCCAGGGCGTACCCAGCCCCCAGCTCGGGCAATTCGGGGGTCTGGCTGCCCGGACGGCAGTGCCAGAGTGCGGGCTCCCGGATCAGGTCCCGACATGCACCTCAATCGGCATAAACCGATGCGAGCACGAGACACGCCAGGGGGCATTTCACAGACGCTCCAGTGAGGAGCAAAGAGTGTGTCCAAGGGCCCCCCGGCCCCTGGACAGCCCCTGATCACTGGGTGTCAGGACAGGGAGGGACCAAGGTGGGGGTGCCCAGAGAACTGTCACTGAAGGCCACTCATTCACCCAGCAGTGTGGGACACACACACACGCGCGTGCACATACACACACGTCTACACGCACACGCACATATATATGCACACACACGCATACCTGCATGCGGGCAGCACCACCCCACGACGAGACGGGAAACCCCAGTGGGCCCCGCCAAGGCTGGGCTGCTCTCCTGCCAACGGAGCAGCACACGCGCACCCCAGGACATTCGCACACACGCGCACCCCCGTGGCTGAGTGGTGGCTGCCTGCACTGAGTGGGCTGAGGCTAGGTGCAGGGGTGGCCCAGCCCACTGGCAGCTCCCTGGCGAGGGCAGGAGCGGAGAGCACCGGTGACCCCACGGCCTAGAGCCTGGAGACAGCCGGGCAGACTGCGGGGACGTGGTGCCAGTACCTCTGTTTCTGCTCCCAACCGTCACAACAGCCAGAGAACACGTCTCTGGTCTCAAGACGCCGGTGTGGGCGGGTCGCTGGGAGCATCCAGGAAACCACGGTCCCCCACTGCCAGCGGTGAGGACTCTTGGGCCCTCAGTGGGACAGCCCCACTCTCGCCTGTTGTCTCATCCTCCTCGACACGCCTGCCCCGGATCCCCAAATACACGGGGGCCACGCACCCTGATGGCCCCCTTCCCTCCCCCCCCAGCCCTCCCCCAGCGCCCCCCCCCCCCACGGGCCACCTCCCCCGCCCTGACGGCCCAGCCACTGCCGCACGCACCTGCCCAGGTGTTCTCGCAGCACCTGGTAGACGCTGATCTGGAAGGTCTCGTTGTCGAAGCGCTCTCGGATGTAGTCCTTGTAGATGCGGAACTCGGCCGCCGTCACAGCCTCCCCCTCCGGGATCTTGGACAGGTCGAAGCGGAATTCCCGGTGGTGGTAGCGCGGGTGGAAGAGCTCCTTGTCGTGCTCCACTGGGGGGGACAGGAGCCGTTAGGGACGGAAGCCTGGTGCGGCCCAGCCCGTCCTCCGCCAGTCGCTCAGTGCCGGCTGACGCACAGGCCCCAGGCTCAGCCCGAGGGGCCCCCGTGGGCTGGGACGCTCCTCCCGGGGCTGTCGGGGTAAACCCGCAGCTGGAACCTACTAGAAGGCTGTGAGCACCTGGGCAGACAGAGTCTGCCTACCTGGCCCAGCCCCGGCGGGGGGAGCACCGCCACGGTCAGGTGGGGCCGTCCAAAGTCACAGCCCTGGGGGCAGGGGTGCTGAGAGAGGCCTCTGGTTCTGTGACCCCAGCGGTGGCATTATACCTGCATAATGAAACACATGCCATCTTCCACGGAGTGACGTCGACAGAGACAGAGTGGGACCCAGACCCCAGCAGGGCGCCCTCTCACCTTCCCCCAACAACCAAGTCTACACTCTTGAGGAGGGACCCCAAAAACTGCACCTCCGGGGCAGCCAGACATGTGCCCGGCAGCAGCTCCTGTCGGTGAGTTCGGCCAGAGAATAAAGGCAGGGAGAGGAGAGAGGCAGGGGCGGGGAGAGGAGAGGAGAGCGGCCCCCGTTGTCGCCCTCAGTGCCTGGGCGCGGGGGGCCGGGGCCGGGCAGAGACTGAAGGGTCAGATCAACCTCACAGTGTCGGCGCCAGGGAACAGTGAGCGCCGTGGAGTCGGCGTACCGAGGCCAGGCCGGGGGGTAAATCAGCGGTTCACCCAACGAGGCCCCTCGACACACACGGACGAAGCACACGAGAGCACACACGTATACGCGCGCGTGAGCTCACGCTCGGATGTGCAAGACACAAGGACACGTGCGCGCACACGTCAGCCCGCAGGAACTGGACAAGTCCGTGCAGGGCGCACAGGAGCATGACGACACAGGCACACGCAAGAGCACGCGTGACACACAGGCACGTATGACACGAGCATGCATGATGCACGAGCACAATGACAGGCGCACATCTGACCCATGCGCACACGCGCGTGCACGACATGTGGGCATGCATCACACATGAACCTTCATGACACACAGGCACGGCGACTCAAGCACGTCTGGCAAATGGGCACACATGACATATGAGCACTGTCACACACGAGGGTGACATGAGCACGTGACACACATGAGCACCCATGACACACACGTGTGAGCACAGATGACACGTGAGCACATCTGACACCCACACCCACATGCGTGTCCACAGGCACGCACATGGTGCCCACACGGACGCTGGACAGACGCGCATGGTGCCCACCTGGACACCCCATACCTCTGGGGGCCCCTGAGTCACACCCAGAGGGCTCAGGGCCTGGTGGTTCTCAGCCCAGCTCCACGGCCAGACGGTTCCGACCCGGGCCCTACGGTCTGGGGCCACAGGGTCGCCCTGCTCTGGGGAGGGGGAGTCTAACTGGGAGGCTGCCGGGCACACAGTGGGGGGCCGTGTCCAGGCACTGGCGGGGGGGGGGCGTGTTGAACTCCCGCGTCTGCCTCCACTCATGTCTGTGGGGGGGCGCGAGGGCGCTGCTGGGGGCCACGGGGGTAACTCAGCCCTGCGGGGACCCAGTGGGGACACCGTGCATGAGTGAGGTCGGTGGGGGAGAAGGACACGGCAGCCCCGTGCCTCAGGACCACCGGGAGCAGTCACAGGGAGGGACCTTCCCCAGAAGCCCCGCCAGGAGCACAAGGGCTGCCCTTGGCCCAGAAGTTTCTCGAGCTTGACGCCGCGTCTCCCTCTGGGCCAGCCTGTTGGCGGGCGGCTGCTCTCCGCGGCTGACACACGGGAACAGAGACGTGTGCCCAGACGGAGGCTGGGGGTCCCCGCTCTGCACTGCCCAGTCCCCAACACAGAGGGGTGGCCTGGGGCAGGACAGCCCAGGCCACGGGAGCCCCTGGCGTCTAGCGGGCGAGGTCGGGTCCGTCCTTTCTCATTGATTGTCTTGGTTTGGGGCCTGCCCCGGCTCTGCGCTCAAGGTCACTCCTGGCGGGGCTCTGGGCATCAGGGGTGCCAGGGACTGAACCCGGGTGGGCCGCGTGCCCTCCCCCCTCTCCCCCAACCCGCATTTCCAACAACGAGAAGCCCCGAGAGACGGGTGGATGTGAAGGTCATCCACATCCGTGGCCACTCCTGTCCCTCTCGCTGGACACTCCGGAAGCCTTGACCCACGAGATCTGGGGTCCACACAGGCTGTGGGGCGGGCCCCAGGTATGAGACCGTGCGCAGGGCCAGCACCGACTCAGACCCGCGACCCACAGCTGCCACCGTGGCCTCCACCTCTGCAGTGGGTGCTGGGGTCCCCGCTCCCGGGGCGCTGCGAGGGTCCCGAGGCCAGAGCACGGTGGCCCAGGGGGCGGCTGGCGTGGGGAGCGAGACCCCAGGGGGCTGCCTGCCTGCCCCAGGATACTGGGCCGTCCATGCCTCCCTCCCAGCGCGGCCGAGACGCCCGGGTCGACTGGGCAGGCGCAGCTGGTCCGAGGTATTTTCAGAGCAAATCAAATCAAATGAGAATTTATGGCCCTTCCCGGGGCCTGGGTTCCATCAGCCTAAACTCATTAGCGGGCCCGCAGGTGCAGCCTGAGCGCCCGGACGGCGGCTGGAGCGGCTCCTGAGAGCAGACGGTTGAGGTGGCCGGCCGGCCGGCCGTGGGTACCTGGGTGGAACTCAGCGCCGAGTGCTCGGGGCGGCGGGCTCCCAGGGCAGTGGGCGGGGCATGAGGGCCCGGCCACACGGCCACAGCACGGGCCAGAGAGGAGACGCAGAGGCCAGAGTGAACAGGCCGGAGCCACACAGGGCTCGGGACGGACCCCGGGACGGGCACCAGGAGCACTGCTCAGCGAGCATCTCCCCCGGCTGCTGCTCCTGGGGTTCACGGCCCTGCCCTCGCCCAGCTTCAGAACCTCCTTTTGTCCCCCTTGGGTTGTGGCCCAGAAAGTTTTGGCGGCACTCACGGGGAGCCCGAAAAGTCTTTAGGATGGATTTTAAAATGCGTTTCTTTACAGTGCACTGGGTCAACGTGACTTTGTCTGCGTACCTACAGCTCTGCATGGCAGAGCCTGGCAAGCTCCCTGTGGCGTATTTGACATGCCAAAAACAGTAACGATAACGGGCCTCATTCCCCTGACCCTGAAAGAGCCTCCAATATGGCAGCGTTGGGAAAGACAAGTAAAGAGAGGCCGCTAAAATCTCAGGGCTGGGACGAATGGAGACGCTACTGGCGCCCGCTCGAGCAAATCGCTGAACAACAGGATGACAGTGATACAGTGATCTTATAGCTCTGTATGTGGGCCGCCATGCGCACAATATTCTTGGGTGCAGGGGATGGTGCCAGGTTCCGGTCCCCTGGCCTTGGCGGTGCCCAGAGACTGTCTGCAGTGTTGGGTGTCGAACCCAGGCCGGCGGAAAGGCTGCACGCAGTCAGGAGCCTCACAGCAGCCTCCAGCACCTTCGAGAACCGTCACAGGCAACCTGGGCACGCCACCCCGGCACCTTCCACAAGCCCGAGGCTGCCCGGTTTCAGAGGACGAGTGACGGCAGAAACGGGGCTTCCGGCCACAAGCCATGACCCTCCACGGGCTCCGGCGGCCAAGCTGGGCTGCCCCGCCCCAGGGCCACGTCCAGGTGGGAATCCGGGTTCCGAGAAACAGGCGTCCAAGTCCCATCTCATGTCCTGGCTCCGGTCTCAGACCCTCACAGCCCCCACCTGGGACGGAGCCGAGTCAAGGGGCAGCCACCAGGACTCACTAAAACCCGCGGACAGACACACACGCGGGCTGGTGGCGCGCCGTCTCCCACGTGGCCCCCCTCCACCAGGGCTGAACAGGGGCCACGTGAGAGCAGCGTCTCTCCTCAAGAGCAAGGGTTGGGGTGAGCGGCTCCATCGCAGGACCAAGACCCCCAGCGTCTTCTGTCCTTTGGCTCTTCCACTTAACACTTAGCACCTCACGACCCCAAAAGGGCTGCCAGGGCCCCCCATCACGCCGCACCTCCACAGACCCACATTCCCGCTGGGAGAAGTGGACGAGAACAGAGTTCTGCGCGCTCCACTCCAGCTCATCAATGAACAAAGTCTTTTCCAGGACTGCTCCCGCCCACTCTACCTGGGGCAGGCGACCCCTGTGACCTCCCCGGGGTGAGAACAGGCCCTGGGGTCACTCCCAAGCCCAAAAGAAGTGGAGTGAGGCATCGAGTACCACGTGGCCACGCAACAGAGGAATCCCGAGAGGCCACGGTGCTCAGGACAGAGCTGAGGGATGCGGACAGGGAGGCTCCTGCTTCTAGAACCTTCTCCAGACACCGCCTTGGTCTGGGGTCTGGACCTTCCGGCTTTGTTTCTGGCATAAAGAGAGCTTGAGTCGACATCCTGCTGTTTCGACCCGCGGCCCCTGTGACGTGCTGCCCAGAACCATCCCTTAAAAGCATCTTCCTCTTTTGCAAACCACAACACCCAAGAGGAGAGAGAGAACAGAGGGGAATGCCCTGCCACAGAGGCAGGGTGGGATGGAGGGATGGAGGGTGGGAGGGATACTGGGACCCGTGGTGGTGGGAAATGGGCACTGGTGGAGGGATGGGTACTCAATCACTGTATAACTGAAATCCAAGCACAAAAATTTGTAAGTCTACAACTGGACCTCATGGTGTCTCACTAATAAAAATTAAAAATAAATAAATAAAACAAAAAGCCCTCCCCCCCAAAAAAGCATCTTCCGGGGCTGCAGCAATAGCACGATTGGAAGGATGGTTTGCCTTGCATGCGGCCGACCCGGGTTCGATCCCTGGCATCCCATGTGGTCCCCCGAGCATCGCCAGGAGTGATTCCTGAGTGCAGAGCCAGGAGGAACCCCTGAGCGTCACCAGATGTGACCCAAAAAGCAAAAAAAAAAAAAAAGTATCGTCCGCTTCCCCACCTGCTCCGGCATCGCCGCCAGCCAAGCCCTGAACACGCGCCCAAGCACTGTCGACGGGGCAGGTCTTCCCAGCTGA